AGTCATCATAGTCATCACCCTGGAGATACGAGTCATCGATATGACTTGCTGAAAGGTGTCCCAGCTGTCTCAAATGTGAATATACTGGTTTTAATAATTTAGTAAACTTCCTGGGGCAAAATGCCAATCCATTTGGAAAGCAAACATATTTATACAGTTTTCCACGCCACTGAAACTTCAGGTATTTTTGGTCTGCAGTGGCAATAGGCACAGAATAATATGCATCCTTTAAATCTATGGATGCCATAAAGCACCCAGGTTTTACCATTTGTAAAACAGTATTAAGTGAGTCCATTTTAAAATGGTGGTATTGTACATGAATGTTTAAACGCTTGAGATTTAAAATTACTCTGAAAGAACCATCCTTTTTGGCCCTAGTGAAAATAGGAGAGATATATTCCCCTTTTTCATGGCTACTTGGGGTAATAACACCCTTAGCAAGGAGTTCAGCTATTTCAGTATCAATGACATGTTGTTTGTCTAAATCAAGGATTTTCTTCTCTTTGGGGACTACTCTTTGATATGGAGTTCTGGTAAACTCGATTGGCTGGCCTAGTATCATTTGCAATATCTCAGGGTCTGAGGTTAAGGCCTGCCACTGATAATAATATTCTCCCAGCCCCCCTGCTTTAAAGCAGTGCGCCTTGTGCTCAAGGAACTGTAACATATTTACCTTGTTTGTTGGGATATCAGAGCATTTCACTGGCTGGATTTCTTCTCGGTTGCCTGTGGTTTGTAGGAATTGTGGTTGTGTGGCCGGTAAGACCGGCCCCTCTTCCCTAAAAAAGGCTTTCCATTTGAGTGAGAAGATTTGCCCTTCCAGCCATCGCTATGGTTGCGATAATATGGCTTTGCAGTAGTCGCATGGCCAATTTTGTTAGTTGCTTTGATATTGTTAAGCTGAGATTGCAGCTCATCTCCAAACAATAAACTCGTGATGGGTACTTGAGAGCCACACAACGAGGAATATTCGTTATTTAAGTTTGGTTTGATGGCGTCGCGTCGACGGTATGATAGGTCAATGTTTACATGGCCTAACAATGCCAGAGCGTCAGCATTATGCGTGATTAATTTCCCCAATTTCTCAGTGAGAGCCGACGCTGAAGTCTTCTCAGGATCTGCACGGATAGCCAACAGTGTGTCAGTCGATTTAGCGATTGCACTACCGACTTTGACAAGTACTTTCTGCATGTTGGCAAGGCGTAAATCTGCGCTCCTGGTCACGTGCTTCAGCTTATTCCAGATCTCGGGGTTGACCTTTGGCACAGTTAATTTCTCGCAATTATCGGGTCGATTGTATTTCGCCAATTTTTCTTTTAATTTGGCTTCCTCTAACTTAGAACCCCATCGCTTATTGACAATATCCGCCAATTTCTGAGCGACTTTTGGGTCAGTTTGCTCATCCGACTCAAAGTCTTGAGCAATTTCATTGAGCAATGCGTCAGAGCTGCCCAGTTTTGGCGGGTCGCCATTGGGCGGGAAATTAAGTTCCTCAGAATCTGACTTCTCAGGGTCTGAATCTCCACTATCACTCATGGTATTAGTTGTAGGAGATGTTCTCCTCTTTTTTGATGGTGTAGCATGGTCTTCTGGTGCGCCAGCTAACCGTTTCATTGTGTTTTCCATGGACGACATGGTAGAACTCATTTGGGTCATGGCCGACAATACATCAGCAAGCACTTTGTCTGTACCCCGATGCGAAGAATTCGCTGTCTCGTTTTCTTCAGAAAGTAAATTTTCTTCTTCTACCGGTGAAAGGGGGTCCCTTCCACTCATATTTTCGGCAGTCATCTAGTTTTCTCAGTGTCGTGCAAACACCGTCCGACCTTCCCAAAAGGATCGTACACAACTGATCTTCCCAGGCTCGTGCGCCTTCTCACGTGACTCCGTAGCGACCAATGACCAATGACGAAACAGAATATTATTTTACAGCAGTGCCAAAAATAAATATTTAATTTTGTCACCAAAGCCAAGTATTTCTCATTTGATGAAGGGCTTGCATGAAATCGTACCCTAACCATAACCGAAACCATTCAAACAAAGCACTTAACCCCAGTAAAAAAACTGGGTGCCAAATGCTACCCCTAACCTTACACAAAAGCTATGACCATTTCAAATAAATGCTTAACCCTAATCACTAAAATGACTAAAATGTGAGTTTATTCTACAACGTATTTTACAAGGAGAGGTACAAGTAAATAAGAACAAGTTAAGTGTTAAAAATTACTAACCAGTTTGAAAAATTTAAACTGATTTAAAAAAATTCAAACCCAAGATTAAGTTTGAACCACAACATATCTACGGGATCTAGTGATTTTCCTTATTTGGTGACATACGGGACACGGAATTTAGTTTTGGCGGGCGAAACGAACCTTGTCTCTTGATCGGAGAAGCGTGGAGTTCCGTTGGTATTTCGCCTTTTCTAATTAGATCTTGCCTCTCTTAGACACAATAAGCAACACAAAGAACAATGATAGAAGGCAAACAACACCATCATTCAAGTATGGTGAAAGAGGTAAGTGAAATTGTTTTTTATTTATACAAAGTTCCAAGTTTATTTCAAACGTGAAGGTGCTTTTGATTCGTGGTCAGAATAAGCCCCAAAGTTATTGCGTTTCAATGGCTATAAATATAAGCTTATAGAGTGATCTGTTTCCATAAACTATGTAAACATTTACTTAATTTGAGTTTGCAGACTCCCTTGGGCTAATGCACCAGAAGAGAAACCTAAACATCTCTCAAATAGAAAGAGGGGGCAACATAATTATACCTTCGATCGTTAATTTGAAAACACACCATACCTGCATCACGCTCTCTTTCTTAATTGTTCTAAAATTCGAGGTCACTGTAATTCGATTTTTAATCCTGGCATACAAGAATTGTTTGTCTTTCTATTAATTGAAGTAAGAATCAAAGATGAGGGAGCATGTTTGGCGATGTTGATCCCAAGCTCTCTCCATCTCTCTACTTTGCCAAGTCGGTGATGATGTCCCAAGATGCATTCACTCATACATTCACTCAGTCAGGGTTGTCCCATAAAATCTCGATTCTCATCCACATTAGAAGTTCATCTTTTTGTGTTCTTATGTATATATGTAACTTTGTTCCTAAAAGAGATTTTGCTATGGTTGCAAAACTTGGACAAGTAAAAAGCAAAAAGAATTCAGAGCTAAGAATACCGTGAGAACTGAAGTCAATTCAATGATCCATTGCAGGATTTTTTGTAGCTAAGATTTATGCAGCTGCCTTTGCAGGACTGGGATTGTGGTAAGATAGCACAATTTGTATGGTAGAGCTTCCCGAAAGCAGACACCCTTTGGATGAGAAAGGATCTCTGCTTAGGAGGTTAAGGTGTAATATGTTTGTAACTGGCTGGCTATATAAGCCACATAATATAACTATATCAACTTGACTAATTTTTGACCCAGAAGTATGAATTTAAGCCATAAGTTTTACTGAAGCAATATAGATTGAAAAGTTATCAAAACCTGTTCAATTCAGTGAATTACATCATTTTGTAACAAGGAAACCCTAATCACAAGGCAATTATCTAGCAAATTAATCTTTCTAACAAGTAAATTATCTACTGGTGGATGAAATATCAGTTATTGAACAGATCATTTCTGTTGTTTTTTTATTTCAGAGTACAGGAAAACAGTGAAACATATAGGGAAACCACAAAGAGGAAGCCACTGCAGCTATCTAAAAGCAAGGACAAACTTTGCTTTTTAAAATTTAATTCCACTTTAATTCTGTTTTCTATTGTTTATGAAAAATTTGTATCTTATCATTTCTATGCAAACTGAAAGTACTTGTTGTCACTTCCTTTGGATACAGATTGAAGACTGAAGTAAATTAATGGCATTGTTAAAAACTTGATCGGTCTTCCCGACTGACAATTTTTTTTAATTTCACGTAATGCATGCAATCTAGTCTAGATAGAGGTTGTTGCATAAACATATGAAGTATTGATCATTAAATCATTTGCAAAGGGAAAATTGCTACAACTTAACACACAAAAGTGATAATCCTAGGCTGAGGACTGAGATATGCTTTTTTGATCTTGACCTACTTTCAATCTATTTTATGGCCACCTTATTCTGGATCCATACACTGGAAGTGCTATTTTAAACCCTTTTACCCTGCATGACATATACATTAGGACCTATTTTAAATGTATTTATATCCTATTTTTCTAGATTTTTCCCTATTTTATCCCTGTTTATGTCTATTTTATCCTTGTTTTGTCTATTTTATCCATGTTTTTTGTCTATTTTATAGGTAATTGATTCCTAATTTTTCAAGTTTTTTCCTATTTTATTCCTATTTTATGTCTATTTTAAATGTACTTACATCCTATTTTTCATTTTTTTTCTATTTTATTCTATAACTAATATTTCATTAATGCTATTTTAATACTATTTTATCAATGAACTGCATGCGCATTTTCTCTATTTGAAAGCTATTTTTACAGTAGTTATGACTTGCCAACCAGACCATTTTTTTACTTTTTTTTGTTTCAAAATAATAGCTTTCAAATAGTTAAAAAACAGCTTTCAAATAGTCTGGAAAATGGAGAAAAAATACACAAAAAATAGGTAGAAAATAGTTTAAAAAATAGATATAAAATAGATATAAAATACGCACTTTTTTAGTAAGGGATACCAAAATTTTTACAGCATTGAAAAGAACTAGAGGTTGTATAGTATTTAATGATACTAGAAGGTAAACTGGAGCATATTTGTCTCACATCTAAAACAGAAAACCTGCTGCATCCATATATTTATGACTACCCTTTTCCACAAGAGAAAGATATGATTCTAGAATAATTATGTTTTCTAATTGAATTTGACCACAAATAAAATGTTGGTAAATGATGATAATATCAACAATAATAATTACGATAACAATCATCTAGTTTTATAATAATAATTTAAATAATTTAATTTTATGATAATAATTTAAAAGGTCTAGCTCGAAAGCCCCATGGTTCCCCAAATTCCCCGGGGTTCAAAAATGATTACTCATCATGCTCCTTATAATTGTGACTGTTAGTTTTACATAGTTTTCAATTTCATTACAATCCATTTCGTAGCCTTTGTTTCATATAAAAAGGTATTTGGGATGTACCGTCCGTCTGCATTTTAAGGTTTTCTGCCATTCTGCCCATCCACCTTTCGTACGATATTTCATAGCTTGCTCGCTCTGCAAATTTAGCGGCCCTTTTACAACATAAGTCACTAATTCAAACATGAAAATGCACAATTCAAAATGAAGAAAATGCATGTTTATCAAGTTAAGCCTCCATAATTTGCGGAGCACATCTACTGAGATACTTCTGCAAGGGAAAGTCTTGGGAAAGAGTTCCATATAACCCAATATATTAATTATGCCTAGAGTGTTGCAAAGAAACCTTTAAATTAGTCTTCATGAAACAAATGCATAATTAATGTATGGGTTATATTGAACTCTTTCCAAAGTTTTGATTTAAATTACGTGTATGCGTCGACGGATGCCTCTGTGAAATTATTTTGAGATTATATCTCCGGATTAACATATAAATTATAGTTCACTGATTTAAACGGTTAATTGCTCTCCATGAAAAACTGTCTAACACTTTTGAAAAAATTTTGTGGCTGGTATATATTACTCTCATCAGATGAAAAAAGCCTTCCCTTCAAGTTTTCTGGTGC